GAAGTCTTTATATGTAAATGGCGAATTACCTATTTTAGTATCAATAACTGATACACAGAAATAAGTAAATGACTTTATTATCATTACATTACCATAGAATATATTGGACTATGTCTTTCGGCAACCAGAACTTGGAATTAATGAAAAGTTTTTCATCGTAACATAATCTCTTTATTTCTCTGTTCAACTTATACTGTATTTTGGAAAGTAATTTTAAGATTACAGCGGATGGTATAAAATGTATCTTTCGCTTGAAATAAAGTTAATATATTGTTATAGCGATCATGATGATATAATTAAGACATATTCGATATATTCATCATATTTCGCTAGTAGTTAATTTATGTTCTACTCAGTTCTATCTGTCATTTTTAACAACTCTCATACTTTTACTTTAAATTATTGAATTGCCAAGAATTGATTAAATCTTCTTCTAACGACTTATCTATACTATTCTCCTTACGGAATAATTTCGTTTAATATCATAATGTTGTCAGCTAATTTATATTGAATGAACGATTTATTAATTGGTCCTGTTGAAATCATTTTATTATTAATTTTTACGCTCTATGCGATTACTTGTACAAGATCATTCCCAGCAACATATTAGTCACTATTAATTCTATAGTCGTTAAAATTATTAAATCTCAATAAAATGATTATTAAGAAATGAGTAAGAGGCGAGCGATATTGACTTGGCTACGATACCAAATTTTAAAATCTTGATTTTTGTTTTAAGCCGAACGATGTTGGAGATAAAGAGATAGGCATGCTAAATGGAAATAAAGCCGCTAAGTATCCAAGTTCTGGGAGATACTTGATAGGTATTTTTTACTCTATCAAGAAATGCATAGGAGGGTAAGGATGCTAAAATATCCTGATTTTTATATTAAGTATGGCGATGGTGCTATAGAGAATAGTGAAATAGCTATCACGAATATAAGTAAAACTGCTAAGCATCAGGAAGTTTAAAAGTGACAGATATAATAGTATACTTTATCTATCAAGAAATGCATAGTAAAAGATGAATAAGATCTTTTGGCCACGATACAAAATATTTAAATCTTGATTTCTACATGAACGTAAACGATATTAACAATACGGAATAGCCATTTCGAATAGGAGTAAAATTGTCAAGTATCCGAAATCCTAATAGACGTTTGATAATATGACGACCTTTTTGCTCTGTCAGGAATGTACAATAAGAGAAGAACAAAATTCGTTGGCTAGGATATCAAGCATTAAATTTTTAATATCTATATTAGGCCGAACAGTTTTAAGAATAATTGAATAGCCATTCCAAATGGGAATAAAACCGCTATTTATAGCATCATACCATAGGGATTAGGGTTGAATTAGCAGTAACTAGAAACATTTGTGGAAATTACTGTCCCTATCAATTACGTTCCTTTACAGTATGTTAAAATTTTTTATTTAGAAAAAGCAAGGGCTAGAATTACTAAAAGTAGCTAAAACTTTGGTTTACCAGGTAAATAGATTTAATAAAAGGAATGTCTGTTGGGTGATGCCGAATTTTCCTTTATTTATTAGCTTTGATCTAGTGAAAGTCCTATCGATCATGATTTGGTAGCATTTTATATTTAGATCAAAAAATTGCCTACAAGTTTGTTATTAGAGACAGAAATTATGGAAGAAGCTTCAATCTTTTCCTATTCGAATACTTTAACTACAGTATAAGAGATATGCACAATATGCGCTGTCTATCCAATATCATTCCTGATAAATATTTTAATTTCATAGTATTTTTATCAAACAGCAATTAAATTTTTCGATTGAAATTTATTTAAGAATTAATCATGATGTATCCTTAGTTTCATTGCTCATACAGCATCTAAATCCTAGTATTAAATCTAACCTGTATAATTATCTTGATGCTATAGCTCAATTTCTTTGTTTTTTAATTGAATTTCATTTTCTCCTTGGATGACTTGGATATTTGTTGATGGTTCAAGACAGCCCTTAGTAACCTTGCTCATTAATTATTACGATAACGGATGCCTAATCAGTATTATAGTCATATCCTTAAATTAATGAATGAACTAACTTATTAAAATAAAACAAATACCGAATAGTTTTGTAGATAAGCTCCTACTTTTCGGTTTAGATGGATCCACTTTGAATAGAAATTTTTGTATTATTTCTAACTTGACGCTTGCTTTTGTTTATTCATTATTAATTCATATCGTTCGTCTCCATTATCTTTTCAATAGATTTTGTTTTATACTTTGTAAACTATCACGTAAAATATTTGAATCCATCGTTATAAGTACTTGAGTTGATTAGATAACAAGCCGTTAATATCGATACTAGGGTAGTCTATTCGATGGTTAAAGATTACAGTATTGGAAAAAGATTATTTGTAGGAAACTATCTTATGCTATAATGAATTTTAAAATGTAGTAAACCTGTTTATGAACTTTATGTAAATTACTTTATACATCAAGTTATATGTCAAATTACGTCTTGTATAATAAACATAACCATTAACGCTATTAGATCAACTCTAGTTGTAAATTTAGTACATCTACTTCTTGCTATATTAAATGAGATCAGTAAGCATTACGTGGGTAATTTAATTCTGTAAATCAAACAAATTTGCCTATTGATTCATTTAAGATCATTTTATATTCAAGATTGAATACAAATAGTATCCGATTACTTGGAGAAAATGAAAATATTTTCACAGATAATAAATTACATAATCCTACTGTGTATTTTATATATGGATTAAAATTTCATATTGAACTAGGGTAATAACTATTTCCGTATCACTAAAATTAGACTATTTTCGAGTAATCAATAGCAATTATCCCCATATCGAGTTCTTCTAGTTTAAATCTTATCGAAAAAGATACTTCGCTAGTAAACAATACGTAAAAAGCAAATTATATGTTTCTAATTAAGAAGCTTGTTTACTTCTTCGATACCGGAATTGTAACCTATATCGTACTGTATATTGAAGTTGATCTACTGTATATCTATTCTAAATTTATTAGAGAGCTAATATCGCTGTGAGTGATTAATTCATTTGTATTTTCCATATATTACATGGCTTCTATAATGTTATCTAAACGTATTTACACGTATTTAGGTTTATCGAAAAAGTTTCGTTTTCTGACATTGATGTCCTTGAAAGATGCCATTCATCTTAATGCAGTAAATTACGTAAATGATTTATGTATTAACTTTGGCTAAACCGTGCGTAAAATTATACATAGCTATGTATACTTGTTAAATATTTACAGTAGGGACTTGAAAATTTTGTTCATAAATGTATTTACGCATATTTAGTTTTCAAGATCATTACAGTAAACTGAAGTAGCTATTTCCTGATATATAACAAATGAAAAATATCAATCAAAAGATATAATACTGAAAGCAGACAAGTATCCACGGTACAATAAATATAGTATCCGACTTCAAAAACAATGTAAGTATACGGAATACAGCGTATAATCATCACTTATTTATCAGTTAGAAACTGAAATGAGTAATTATGAATACAGTAATTTTAACTTGTATCGGAGTTTAGGTGAAATAAAACGATTTTAGTGAATTTTCTAACGGGCACGTATAACCGTAAAGTAAAATTGAAATGTAGTAAACTCATCTGTTAAAATTAACAAAAATCAATAAATAAGGTTAAAGCTCGGAGTAATATTTTCGGAATGCCAGTAAAATCTAGGTATATTACGTTATTAATATCTTGTTCACAATAACCTGTATTTATATGAATAATATTTACTGTTATGAAAGATAGGTTTAATACAGCAGAATTATCCGCTAGTTTTCCGACAATAAATACGCATGCTGGATGACGTTACTATTGATGATGGGTTATTTTCGTAATGCTTTAAGGGTCAAAAGGGCTATCCCTATCCTATATTGATATTTTGATCTATGGAACGAATCAAATATGATCTAGATATCATTTTTTTTCGGGTTAAGAGTCTCCCAGATAATGATACAAATTGTGATTGTATTGATATGGCTGTATTAGAACTCGATTTAATGTGACTATAGAACAAACCAGTATGGACATTACCGTACCTTAACTATTATAACAAGCGGAAGGATATAAGTCTCAAAATTAAAAGGTATACGTGATGAATAATTATTCAGTATCAGTAACTCTTGTACCATATTAAAAGTAAGATGGAGGGTAGAAATAATAGTTAATTACCAGAGTTAAAAGATATAGGCAAACAACGATCATAATACTGATAGTTTATTTATTACCAAATGGATATTATTGAAAATTCGCATTAAAACTTCAAATATCGATAAAGTCGTGTCACTTAGTGTCTGTGAAGTAGATCATAAATATAGAATAAATTCTGTTATTATCATTCTAATAAAGGAAAATAGTGGTATTGAATTGTATTTATAATGCACCTGCTGGTAGGCAAATATGAAATATTATTGTACTTTAAAATTCATGAGGCATTAATAAATAACTTACTCCTAGAGTTTTCCCTATGATTTAAAATTATTGCGCTGGTAATACTATTATTCTCTATGCGATTTACAGTGAAATGAATTTAAGTAAACAATTTAATTTTCTCTAAGCTATTTAAGTATTCAGCCGAAAGAGGTGAAAGAAAATAAGGAAGAAAATTTTTAGTGCTGCCATTGCGTGCTACCTGATAAATTATGGTATCGGTAAAATACGTTGATTGAATTTATGTGTATATCAAATGTAATCTTACCTATATTCTAGGAAGAAATGATCAAGTACAAGATCATTTTAAAATATATAAAGTCATCTAATAAGTCTATCGATGTTCGTCATTGAAAAGCTTATATTAAATCTATCCAATCTTTAAGTGAATTATCCGAATCGTTATCATCAAGGAAATTTTTTCAAATAGTTTTTAGAACCTAGATTATAACATTCCATATTACCTTGACCAATTGGATATCTATTGAATATTGTGATCTCGACGATCATATAATTGCTATCATTTAAACCACTAAAAATGGATATTAATATCATCTATAGGAAGATTGCTTTACTATCATTGATTGGATTTTGCGTTATAGCGAAATGTCAAAATCTACCTTACGTTACTAACGCCAATTATTCCCGTGAAACCAAAGCAATTCAATATGGTGACGTTGTCTTGGGTGGATTATTTTCAGTTCATTTTGAGTATACGCCATCACAACGTCGTTGTACTCATATGAATGAACGTGGTGTTAAATGGGTACAATCGATGATTTATACAGTCGATCAGATTAATGATAATCCACATCTTTTACCCAATATCACCATAGGTTATGATCTACGTGATACATGTAATAGTCCAAATAATGCCATCCAAGAAAGCTTGAATTTCGTAATATATTCTCATCTCGACGACAATCAAAATAGTGATTCTTTAAAATCTGTACTTTGTGATGATGAAGCGAATAATTCTATTTTCAAGCCAAAGCTTTTTTCTCACATAAAAAAAGAACAACTCGTGGAGAATAAAAGCCAATTTAGCTCAATACCAAATATGATCGGAGTAATTGGAGGTCGAAGTAGCCGTGTTTCACTGACTGTTGCCAGTTTATTGAGTAATTTTGACATAGCACAAGTTAGCTATTCATCGACAAGTCGTTTATTAAGTAATATAATTCAATATCGTTCCTTTTTTCGTACTGTGCCAACAGATGAAAATCAAGTTCAAGCAATGATTGATATTGTTCAACATTTTAATTGGACTTACGTTGCTATCGTCGCGGTTGATGATAGCTATGGACGCTTAGCTGCCGATAGTTTCAAGAAAAGAGCAGCAGCACTGGGCCTATGTATCGCAGTAGATCAACGCTTCCCCAATCAAAATAGCCAGCAAGCCATGCAAGATATTGTAACTGAATTAAGTCTGATACCAAGAGCTAAGGTGATTATCTTATTATGTGCTGAAAATGAAGCTGTGGATTTTCTCTATGTAGTGCAAAGGCAAAATTTAACCGGTCGGATCTTTATTGGATCCGATGCTTGGGGTGATTCGCCAAGAATAGCCACTTTACAACATGATATTGTCGAGGGAATGCTGGGTGTTGTCTTAGATGGTCATCCAGTACCTCAATTTGAAAAATATTTAAAAACCTTAGATCTATGCAATAATAAGCGTAATCCATGGTTTAATCGATTATGGTATGAAAAAGCTCGGATGGAAAAGATACCGCCTGACCGTAATAATTGCTTAATACCATTTGAATTACTGCATAATTATACTGATACCTTTTATCAAGAAAATAGCAAAGTTGCTTATGTCATGGATGCTATTTATGCCATTGCTTATGCTTTGCATAATATGTTACAATGTACAGCGACATCTTGCAAACCATTAAAAACCATCGACCGTAGTACATTTTTACAGTACTTACGTAATGTTACTTTTAATGCCATTTCAGTTAAAAATTTCCATTTTAGCCCTGAAGGTGATGCATTAGGCATATACCAGATTAAGAATTTACAACCTAGTTCCACTCATTCCCGTAAACTTGAATTTAAAACGGTAGGAGAGTGGGATATGTCTCAACAATCGGGTTTAGAATTACGAATTCAAACTCATAAAATTGTATGGACTGCACAGCATCCAGATCAAGTTCCGATATCACGTTGTAGTGATGATTGCTTACCTGGGACATTTCGAAAATTTAGCAGTGTTATCTCATGTTGTTGGGAATGTATTCCATGCGTACGCAATGCAATCTCCAATTCTACTAACGCTGAATATTGTTATAATTGCTTACCTGGTCAAGTAGCCAGTAGTAACTTGTCCGAATGTATTGATAAAGCTCCTATCACCTTTCAGTGGAATGGTCCTTTATCAATTACAGTTTTTATTTTAGCTGGAATCGTTTACTTAATGATCTTAGTGACATGGATTATTATCATGAAACATCGTCAATCGCCAGTGGTGAAAGCATCCAATACATTATTAACCAATTTTCTTCTCATCGGTATAACAGCTTGTGCTACTTCAGCGGTTGGATTTATCGCACCGATATCACTTGTATCCTGTAAGCTTGGTCTTTTTATATCTGTTATTTCACTTGTCTTTATTTTATCCACCATTATGGCTAAAACTAATCGAGTATCCAAAATATTTCAAAGTGCCTTAAGTCATTCTAAAAATTCTTCTGCATTTCTTAAAAATAGTACACAAGCATTTTTTGTTATTTGCTTGACTAGTATCGAAATCGTTCTTACCTTTAGCTCGTTAGCGGTCGATCCGATAGAAATCAATCGCTATTTATCACATAATAATGAAGTCTATTTACAGTGTAACACACGATACAAAATCACTTTTTACTCAACAATATCCTATCTTATTGTATTAAATATGGTTTGCCTTTATTTGGCTTTTAAAACCAGAAAATTACCTGAAAATTATAATGAAGCAAAATTTATCAGTTTTACATCCTTAATTATTACTTGTTTTTTATCAACAATTATTCCAGCTTACTTTTCTACCATTGGTTCATTTCGAGCTGGAGTAGCATCCATTGGTTTATTATGTCTATCATGCGCTATCCTTTGCTGCATGTTTTTACCAAAGGTCTATATTCTGCTATTCGAATCGAACACAAACACCAAAGAAAATGCTATCCTAGACTTGGCCAGTTATTCATTTGGTAACGCAAATACTGCTTCATTCTCAAGTAATCGAACAGCGTACAAGAATACGGCAATAGTAGTTCCACTATTGACCAATAGCAGTCAAACTTCGTCTGGTACACTATCATCATCATCATCACTCCATATTGGTCGCAGAAGTATTAAAGTTGCAGGCTGTGATTAAACGTGAATATTTGTTCTATTTAACGCTACTCGCCTTCTACTTAATTTCCTTATTTTACTGAATGACACGACACCAAACGATTGATTTCATTTTTGGCACATGTGTATGTGTGGAAAGTAAATTTCATACTTGGTATTAAAACTGTTAACACGAAAGAGTTCATTGTATAGTATTGCCTTCAGCATGCATTTGTTAACCTCACTAAACGTTATATAAAGAAAAAGCGTCGAGATACAGTCAATAGAGGACCTGAAGAATATGCCAGCATACATTATATTTCTACCATATTTAGAATTTGTATTCAGTAAATTTTGCGAACATTTATTAAATATCATTTTACGCATCTATCACTCTAATAGCATCAATTGCACTCGTATTATAGTATATCGGATTTTATTACGAAAATGATATTTTACTAACTAGATAGCCATTTTTAGTGTTTAATTAATCCTTCATTTTTTACAAAGAATGATTAAAAATCATGACTGGTAAAGTTACTAGCGTTAATAAAATCCGAATTTCGCACCTTTGATGATAAATAATTTTTCGTTGCATGCAGTGCATTTGTTGTTATTCCTATGAATTAGTACACGAGTATATAGTGTACTACTATGGCGAATACTTAGCTTACTTAGCCAGTAGTTTAAATATCCATGCATGAGTAGATACAGATAATTTTTAAGCAATTTCAGCGCATCTAGTGAACAGTACATTCTTAATTGGGCCATAAGTTGAATACAAAGTGCAGTAAGACTTGCCTGCAGTAGTTGACTGTAGTATATTTCACAAGATGTGATTAGTTCCAGTAATAGATAATAATTAATATTCATACAAAGGCCATTACTATTACTATTATTGCCTTACAAAAGATGAGTAAATGAGATATCAGGAGAAGCAAAATAATATACGTATACAATATGGCATAATCTCAACCGCAGCATCACTTGTTTTGAGTCTCAAATATGGCAGAATTTACAGTACACGCATGACTTTATGAAATTATATCTTCTGCCTCCGTCCGGTTTTTACTGAATATGGTCACATGTAGGGGCTATCAGTAATAGTAGTAGCTCAAATTTTTAAGAGTTATATATGATATATGCAAGGACGCTATTATTCTCATACAGAATAAAGCAACGATAAATCAAGATATAAACGAGGCATACAATTTATGCAAGTAGGATAAATTTTATTATCAATGCAAGAAAAATCGTACTACCGTAGTAATTTTGATTTATATTACGACTGTGACAAATATATAGCAATGAACGTAAATTGTAACGTACATCTATACGGAGCCTTAATTTTTTAGTTTTTTAAAGCACGAGATGAGTGAATGAAAGCAGAGCATGGGCTAATACGATTACTCAAGTAGTAATTGAGCGCTCCAAAGTAGTTATAAAAAGCATCCAGTTATGTTCGTAGCCATACTTTCATTACTTATCTTCATAATTTGGCTTTCTCTTTTCTACGAATGCGGTCATACCTTCCTTACGGTCGTGCTATACCATAACACCAAATATTAGATCTTACCAATAAGAATCAGTTATACACATTACTCAAAGACTTACCACGGCAAAAGTTGAATGGAAAATAGTTCTTTCATACTTTAGACCCTCATCTAAGCCAACGTTGAAGGCTAAAAAGTATTGTGTACGTCGAGTATAATTGAAATATGAAGCAATAGTGATGTCGAAAGTTATGATGTAGTACCATCATAAAAGAAAACTGAAAGTAAGATAAATTTAATATGTATAAAATTAATCTTTACTACGTACAGGTTTGCACTGCTTGCTTGCACATTCTAGCAGCCATTTTAGATTGATTGGCAATTACTTCAGCAGTCTTAATAGCTTCATCTACTAGTACTTCTTTAGGAAAAACCTTGCTCACCAAACCTAGATTGAAACAATTAATGTTACAGTAAGTTAGAGTTAAGTTAAACTAGCTATCGTTACTTTGCTGAATACAATCGTATAAATATAACTAATATTCTTAACAAGGTAACCTTTTCTTTCAGCTTCCTGCGCATCAATCGGTTTGCCAGTGAGGATCATTTCCATAGCTAATGATTTGCCTACGGCTTTGGTTAATCTTTGCGAACCGCCACCACCTGAATACATCATTCGGTTAAGATAATTTATAACTAATTGATAGACAACTTTTCGCTGGTAGAAAAGCTTCTATTTACGGAATCCAGGGCAGACAGTATTATATTATAGAATACCTGGAATGGTTCCAATACTTATTTCTGGTTGGCCAAATTTAGCATTATCACCAGCATAAAGGATATCACAAGACATTGCAATTTCGCAACCTCCGCCCAACTATTGCATAGGTAATTGGATATTAGTTGTTGATCAGCTCCAGAACAAGTATTTACAAGGCATAATTATAATACCTTTTATTACTATAATAAAAGCAACTTACTGCGTAACCATTAATAGCGGCGATAATTGGAGTTTTGGTTCTATGAACAAATTCCCAGTTCGCGAGAAAATCAGATTTATAGGTATAATCATAAGTTAGGTTTTGCATTTCTTTTATGTCTGCTCCCGCTGCAAATAATATCAAGCTTATAATCTTAGACATACGATTGTGTTTCATACTAAATAAATCTACAGTATTGCTAAGTCCCCTTAGTACTTAATAGCTACTAAATATTAAAAGTTATTTAAGATTTTCTTATTTAGCGGGTTATTATGCTATAATTTATATAATATTTATCGAGTTAGGAATACACGGTATGATGTTATTCGATTGGATAATATAAATATTGTATAGTTGCTTTTAGTTCCTCTAATTATACCATTGATATTTCGTAAAGCTCGAGTTAAGATCTGTATAAAGATTACTGCTAGTCGATTTGGTAATAATATAAGTATTGTAGATTTGTTTTTAATTTCCATAACTACTATTGATACAAAGTAAAGCTAAAATAGCAAAGGCACTCCACGATTGTATAGCACAATGCTAAAGACAAAGTTAATTTCATAAATTTTCTAAAGTCATATAATAGAGATTTGACAGCTATAATGATACAAGCGTATTTGTTTGAAAGTTGTTCATATAACGAGATATAGTCAACAATCCAGTCATCGGATGTGGTTGTCGCTTTTTACCTGCGAAGGCCTTCTCAGAGCCGGTAAGAACGATACAGCCTATATCCGGATTCTTATCAAATGATGCGAGCGCATGAGTTAATTCCGCTATCAAAGAAGCGCATAAGGCATTTAGTGCCTTGGGGCGATGTAGTCGGACAAGAGCGACATTTTGTCGTTTTCCTTTATATTCAACAATAATTTCCTTGTAATCGTTGTTTTCGGTACCTGGAATAATGTTTAGATTATTAAATGTTATTGGGAAGGTGTTGCAGAAGTTTTAAAATCGTCTTTGCTAATCGGAGAGCAGTTTACAGACAGTCGGTAATGCGATTTTTAAGTACGAATTCAAAAATATAGTAGATTGTTATCTAACCTGCAGTTGAGTAGAATATCTTGCCGTGACCTGCTAATGAATACTTTGACAGTTGCGATGCAACAGGTCTATAACTGCGAGGCAATATTGATCTCGTAGCGATGGAGAAGATTCGAGACATCTGTAAGTAGTAATCATAATAAGCGCATACAAAGGAGTTCGACAAAAATGCGGCTAAAACAAGTAATCTAACTAGTTATTCTTATGACTATCCAAGTATCGTTTCTGTCTTGTAGTCTCTTTTTAATGTGTTCTGAAATGACTAGATATCAAGATAGCGCATAAGTCTATAGCAATGTTTTCGTCTTTAAATCTACGGTACTTCCGCAGAGGTTCAGCGTACGAATGGGAAGCCTGTAAGGGTATTTTGTGACCTCACTGAGGTATCAAATTTAAGTAAAGGCTGATACAAAGAGCATTTTCGTTGATATTATAATAAAAATAATGAACTGATTGCAGCAAGATTTAATGATCCGATTTAACATCATTCTCGTACTATTTCTTCAATAATATAATACATAATACGTTTACTAGTGTAATTAATTACTGCATATAGAAAGGCATACTTCGCAACTGTTCTCTATGATGCAGTAATTGTAAAGCGGAGATGGGATCAACATGTTGTTCCTAGGGAGGTCGTTTATTAACATAATCGGAAGCAGTTGATATTTATCATTTGCCTAAAAATGCTTGAGAGTATTTATGCTACTACTATGCAGAAAAGATTGCATGCTAAACTTACTTTAGAAGTCCGCAGATAGCTGGAAGCTTGCTTTTCTACTCTTCTTGGTGGATAAAAATGTTAGTCTGCAAGCAAACTGCCATAGGAACTAGCGTGCGAAATGAAATGTCGTCGCTCAAGTTATGTCTCCTGAAGAAGAGTTGAGAAATATGGCTAATATGAGACAAGGGGATGACAACATATTTTACAACAAAGCTACAGAGAGTAACAATACTTTGTACTGTACTGTACAGTATTGTACTATACTGTACTGTACACTATGCTATTTTGTCTTATACTGTACATTGTCAATTACTGTACTGTTTTGTACAGTTTTTACTTTTGACCAAAATAATGACACTGTACAGTGTACAGTACTGTATAGCGACGAAATGATACTGTACGCAATAAAAAGTCATGCTATAGTGACATCATTTTTGCTAAAGATTTCCTCTGCCATCCATACTGAGACAAGTAGCAGTTCTAGTACTGTACACTAATACAGCTAGTCCTTCACCAAGCATTATACTAGCCAATCATACCATGAAGTCCATCATTAATAAACTTATACTGACTATTACTAGCAAAAAAATTGTCACTATCGCTTACTTGTAGTTCTGCTTCCAGTACTAGCCCTAGCCCTAACCCTAACCCTGACCCTAACCCTAACCCTAACCCTAACCCTAACCCTAACCCTAACCCTAACCCTAATCCTTTCCCTAACCCTAACCCTAGCCCTAGCTAACCCCCTAACCCTCCGGCGGAACCCTAGCTAACCTACGTCATAGTCGTAGTGGATGTACGGCGTTACGATTTTAAAACCCTTATAATACACAGTACAGTATGAAACACCAGCAACAGTGGTGATCAAAATTGCTTTCTCGAACGTCGCATCCGGACTATTTTCATCTATTAAATACAGTATTAAAGTAAAATCTCTTATTTCAACATAAAAAGAAGCCATAAGTTATAAAGAATCATGGGTAAGAATGGTGGATTTCTTACTCCTAAGGCTATTGCCAACAGAATTAAAGCTAAAGGATTACAAAAGTTACGCTGGTACTGTCAGGTCTGCCAAAAACAGTGTCGCGATGAGGTAGGAATTGCCGAATGAATAATAATTATAATAAAAGTATAGTAGTAGTTGATACTGCAGTGAATAGAAAGCAGTACAGTTAATCAGCATCACTCCGTGCCAGAGATGATGCGATTAACTTAGTTTCTTGTTCCACGTAGAACATACATATTGATGCCCATCGTAGCTTTATATAGTCTTACCAAATATTGCTTAATCATGCCAGTTCATGGCACTTCCTGATGTCAGTCATCATTTTACGGTCTAATCAGTTTACTCACCTACACAGTATGTTTACAACGTCTCGATGGGCATCCGATCAAGAAATCTTATGCGTATACCTTCCGTATTATACTGTACATTTATAAATTAAATGAACGTATACTATGAAAAGATTGAAATGAATATAAGATTGTCATCCTTAATCAAGGGACATAGAAGTCCCTGCCGAATCAGACCATAATACTATGCTCGTAAATGTCGTTGGTGAATAAATGATACATTTTGTCCATGCTTATTGTATAGTATTAAACTTAATCATGAAGACTAAAACATGAAGGGGATCTAAATTTATTATAGAATGGCTTTAAATGCCACACGATGTCTGAATCACATCAACGTCAATTACTTTTGGTAGCAGATAATCCGGATCAATTCGTCGATGGTTACTCGAAGTAAGATTGAAGAGGAGGCGATAAACTTGTACAGATGCAAATTGACGACTACATGTATGTATATGTAACTGATACATTTATTGAATTTATTTTGACATATTATAGAGAATTTGAGGAAGATTTTATATATTTATTAAAAAGAAGATTTGGAAGTCGAAGAATTCATGCAAATGTAGTTTACCAGGAATATATTGGTGACAGACACCATGTTCACATGAATTCCACATGTGTACGTCTAGGATTTGCTAAGATTTGATTCGGATAGATTACTTCATTAATTAAATAGCAATTTACGTTATCTTAATATAAAATGGGTAGTTTAATGTGCAATTCCACTATAACGAAAGAATTTAATATCGTCAATACTTTGGATCATATGTATAGTGGGAAACGTTGACCTCGTTTGTCAAATACTTGGGTCGTGAAGGTAAGTGTGCCGTGGATCACACAGAAAAGGGTTGGTTTGTATCCTACATCGATCGCGATCCTGAGGTTTTAGCCAGGCAAGAAGTAAGTTTCTGTATAGCGCCTTTACTGTTGTATTTTACGTAATAATGTGAACTTGTTGCGCACTTTGATGGTTCACAACATGAAATATGGGATAGATTTGTCTGTGCTCACGTTACTGTCTAAATGAAATAAAGTGTGACATTGGCTTTATGTTCATTATATAAAAAATCTTACTTCCATAAATACAGCTTCTTAAATCCAAAGAAAAAATGGAATTGGACGATGCGGAAAGAAACGGTATAATTCCATAGAATAGTGTAGATGTTGGTGAAATATATCGATTAGCTTTGTTTTCTTTTCAATTAATAGCAAAGTATATTCAACAACAAATCAGCAAATCTACTAAAGACGCACCTGTAGATGAGGTATTATGTTCTGTAGAAATTGTACACTGAATGCGAATTTAATAAGTTGCTATTTTATTACCAAAGCCAAAACCAACCGAACTGAAACGTGAGGGCGATACTGATAAAGGTATTACGAAGAAATAGTATGGCAAGATGTGACTGTATTATCATTGCTAATCATTATTATTACTGTGGGAGTGCAGACTCAAACAATGACTTACAGTATTATTTTCGAAATTTTCTTTACTTAGTCCTTTTCGTAATGCCTAATTCGAGTGTCATTTCGAAGAAGAAAAGCAGCTCGCTCGATAAATTGTCCCCATTGAGCAATATCAACACCGGGAATTCTGTACCTTCTATTAAACGGACTGGGTAAATAAACTATTCTTACAACAGGTTATCAATTTCGATGGAATGCTTCTAATCATATATTAATCGTTAATTGCAGTGAAAAACGGAAATCTGCTTTAGAGGATATTATGGTATTAAGTAAAATTATTTCAAATTTGCATTTAAATACGTTTAAGATTACAGCATCCTTTGAAAATGATTGCAATGTAGGAAGAAGAGAAAAAAAAGTCTAAATTACATGGTTCAAATTGTTGGCTACGGAAAGGGATAATTGTAAAAATTTTAAATAAAGAATTAGGTGATAAATTTTATAAGAGAAAATGTCTGGTAAAGGTATATAATTTTGTGTATTCATGAAAAATTGGCTATCTTTTAAGGGTGATGTCTAATAGGATATTATTTTAATAGCGTGATGTTCTTCATCGTTCATCTTATACATTTAGGATGTTGTAGATCAGTATATTGGAGTTGTCGAGGTGTTAGGGTCCAGTGCTAGAGCGAAGATAGATCAGGCCGATCTCGAAACAGTATTACCATCATATGGTTCGTTTAGATGATGTCCTCTTCATTTACGCAACCTATACTACTAACGCTAACACAGACATAATTTGTGTGAATTTCAGGACGGCATGTTATGATACTGAAGGGAAAGTATAGAGGATTAACTGCCATATTGGAGTCTTTGGATTCCGATAAATACTGTGTCTCAATACGATTAGATGAGGTACAACGATACTTTATCAAGAGCATGACACATTATTAACTTGTACATATAATTTATAATTAATGTTTACGATTTATTTGATATCCTTAGGGCTCTGAGAAAGGAAAAACTTTGCATAATATGGCGTATGAAGCCGTCTCGAAGATACCCGAGGCTTAATATCTAAATACTTTTGCTGGTCTTTGAAACTGCTGATAAAATTTGTTATGAGTAGTGATTATTAAAGCAGCTCAGACGGAGGTAGTTTTGCCTAATTGTTTATTTTAAACTGGTAAACGTAGTTTTACGATTCTGGTTTACGATATACGTATTAAACGACTAAAAGATTCATTGTATCATACTACCGCCTAAAGGGTATATTGAAACAGTAATTGTCGTAGCCATTCATCATTAAAATTGGATAGCGATGTTATACTGTATATAGTGTTTTTGGATCAACATTGATCCATGTTTTCATTAGATGGAGCTGAAATTTCCTCGCTGCTGTTTAAGCTAACTGTTTGAAATTCATAATCAGTACTAGCAATTACTGACTCGTCTTGGCAGTGGTCTAAGATCAAGAATACAATGAATTCATGGATTGTGTTATTTAGGGAAATCATCTGGTTCAGTTGTGGCTATTTGTAGACGTTGTAAGTCAGTAAAGGAATATGATGCCGTTGGATAATTGATTCTCGGAAATGACAGTGTTAAGTCATGTTAGCATTGTCATGATTATGGAACAATTAAAAAAGTCCTATTACATACACATATGTCGTCGCTTTCGTTTCAGTAACATATGATAGATTAGTGGTATCAGTGTCCATAGTCTGCTACTACAGTATTTTTCATTAGCAGGAAAAAATAGGTCAATGCTCGTATACATTTAAGAAATAAAATATCCACTTTCTTTTTAAAAACCAAGATGTAACTTTAAAGTTGCATTAATTACATGATTCTATAAATTGTTGCAGCAATAAGTCGTAGGTTTTCCCCTTACTATTACACTACTTGAGATGCCTTTGGACTGCACTTATCGTCAGGCACTGTACTGTACTGTACAGAAATCGAATTACAGTCTAAATAAATCTACTGATCGCTGCGGTCAGTCAAAAACTGCTTAGTATAATATAATATAATATCATTTCTTCTTCCATCACTAAGATTGAAATTGAATTACAATTGAATTACATGATGCTATATACAGATTAGTCATGATCATAGTCTAGCTAGGACTGTTATACCGCCAATGATTTCGCTAACCATTGATTATAATTCATTGATAATCATATATAATTAATAATAATATAATCAATACATTAAAATTGAAAAGTTAACTGTAGTGCAGTATCTGTCAGCGAAGCGATAGGGACGTTGATTAAAATAGTTATAACTAATTAATGGCGATACATTGCAGAGTACTCCGTATGGGTTGAGCGATTAAACTTCAAGGCAATACTTGGGTATATTGGCACTATATGAATTACTCGAGTGAAATTTGATGTAATATTGAAATATAATAATTTTATTCACGACGCATCTATTAGTGGCAGCTGCTAAGTGAATCTTAAAGCACACTAAATTAGAATTCACTATCCATATACTGTACAAGTGAACTGTTCAATCAGAGCTTATGTATAATATAGACCAAAAATGAAACTTGTAAATGCTGTAGTTGCAATCAAGATTAGGGTGAAAAATCTCCAATTTAATTTCCTATCACTCACTTGCACTGCACTTTTAGCAGTGCTACCACTACCAGCCAATCACGCCAAGTTTGAATGCACTCGTGACCATTGTACCGTATATTGCACAGTACTGTACAGTACACTACTACAGTATACTGTACTATACTGTACTGTACTGTAGTGCAGTACTGTACAGTACTATACACTCTAACTACCAGAGTCTTTGTACAGTGTACAGTTAAAGTACTGTACAGTACTGTAATGCACGGTCCACGTGCGATACTCATTGCAGTACTCACTCAGCAGTCCTAGTACTGACACTGATACCCATTGCCGTCTGCTGATGCAGTGAGTCAGTACAGTACAGTACGCTACAGTAGCCTGGGCTAGACTAGTCTACAGTACACTGTACTGTACTGTACTGTACTGTACAGTACTGTAGACGTGTTAATAACAGTTGAAGCCTATGTAGGTGAAGGTCTCTAGTCTCTTGAGAGTCTTCAGTGAAGCGTATCTACTTTTGCGCATGCTTACGTCAAAGAACAAGCCCGCCATACTTTTTTACCTTTTCGTCCAGTACAAGTCCTGTAGTGATTTCCTTCGTTTCCTTATGGTGGATCGACAAGAAGCTTGAACTCATTGGCAAGGTTAACCACTTGAAAAGTCGTCGACAATCAATGATAGACGAAGGAAAATGAATTTTACTAGTGAAGAATTGAATTATTTGATATATCGTTACTTGCAAGAGTCAGGTTAGCTATTAATTTAGTTGAAGTTATTATGTCATGGTGTTGCCATTTTCATTCCTTGAGTCGAACTGCTTAAAACACTGAGCTATAGTCTTCACTGAAGTATTGTTCAACATGGTAGACGATGTAGACCCTAGAATACTTTTGACCTGGTTGGAAAAGATAGTCGACATTAGTGCTAGCTAACTTATTTCAATGACGAATGATGCAGTACATGTGGAAGAAAAACTATTCTTAAGCAGTAAGACTCACATGTTAGAATCGAACGGGGTTTTGGAAATCACTTTCTATTGAATTTTTACTGGACGCTGTCATAGCCGTCTCAGGCATAGGCATAGCAGTGTTTATTAGTTAAGGTATTGGAAAGAACTTGTCAAGACTGTCTACTTTTACTGCTAGATCAAAGTAGCAAGTTCTACTTGGCAATAGGCTTATATAATAATGATACTCTATTCAAGTTGGAAGTATTACTAGGCTGTAATGTGTCATGGCGTGATAGCTTGATCTTAACCTTGTGAACGTATTCTAATATATTGCACTACTTGAAGTAGAATTGTCATTGCTACAAGGAGGTTCGCAAATAGGATTAACCTAAAATTGATTGGCCCAGGCATTTACAAATAATCGCATAATATAGGATTAAGACACGAGGACGTTACTATTAGCTCTATTTCTCGGCTGTGAGGAAGAGTCTTCTTAGACGTAAAATGATACTAGCGGTTACAATGTACACGTATACGCGTAGTCTTGATTTGATTACCCTGCTGCTGGTGCTGTACTGTATTTTATAATTGGTCACTACCATATCCGCTTAAATTGCTTTGATTAGTGTTATTGCTGCTTACTATCACAAGAATTACTTACGATGTAATGTTGTACCGGAAAATTCTTAAATATCAGTATATGGACACACAGTGTAAGATATCTATCGATTTTGATATTTCTGACGCCTGTAAATAGAATTGTTTCATGTGTTTCGGGCTATTACAGAGAATACAAATAGGCGCAAATTTTTTACAAGATTAAATTAAATTATTGATACGAGTAGTCGCGATAATCTAGTACCATCTACTGACTCTACGGTATTAGGTTTATTGGGTGAAAAATCTTCCTGGTGTGCATACTGTATTTGTAGAGTTTCTATACAGTAAGTTTGTGAAAAAGACAATATATTTCAATATGGTTTGAACAATTTGATTGGTTGCGTCTTTATTGGAGTTCAAACAGTGTCATACCCTTACTAGTATCAATTGAATACTGTTAATGAATAATACGAACGATTCACGTAGAAATATCAATCAGAGACGTAGACGTGCTTACGTAAAATAAGATGTAGCAGTTCTACTTTGACGTAGATATAGTTGTAGGAGGTTACTATGAAGCTATACAATAAATACTAACCGTGTATACTATCTATTTATAGCGATGCTAAACCTTTCTCGAAGTGATCACGTAAAGAAATTAACGACAGATATTGACGTTGTGTTATTTCGTAAAAGTAGATTTGTTAATTTGACGTATGGTGTACACGTAATGTGACAAATTTTATTTCCGTATACTCGGATGCAATGCTCAATATTTGATGATATTACAACAGTATTGAAATGACAAATAAATCAATCGTAATTATAATACGACGTACAGATGGCCATGCACTGTAATAGATGTGGAAGTGCTGCTCTTAAAAGTGTGCATGTTCTTATTTAGCCTTGATTTTAATCGTCGCAAAGGCAACTCTACATATTACTGTAGTTACAAGTCTCCATGTGCATTTGTACTTATAAATATTTGTCTCCATATGTCTTGATACAGGATTTCATCACTCATGTTATACCTTTGGAATAGAAAGTCACATTCACCGCTCGAATATTAATGGTTCTAGTGTACCTCCTGGTGCTTTAATATCCATGGTACAGAAAGGCATGTTGTATTACTATGTCGACATGACTTTAAAAGATGAGGTAAGGGCTTCGTAAAACATTTCTATTGAAGAAATGTCCCTTTTATTATTTCTTAGCTACTCTAATTTTCATTTTCTGTTAGCTAAGATATTCATGGTTTTATGTATGTTCAGTAAGCAAATATCTTCTATTACGATTGATTATAAACCTTATTTTAGCGTTGTTAAAATTGCGATGCCCAATCGCCTCATATTATCCAGTAACGTATTTATAGTAAACCCTGATAAATGCGTTGATGTAATTTATGCATATGGAGGTCTAAAATGGAGTTAGCAATTTAATTAGACAAGAGTACATGAATTGATAATGACAAGATGATGAGCTCTAAATGCTAAGGCTGTTTCGCATTGTGAAACATATTGCACTTGTGCTGTTATAATGTCATCGTACAGCAGTACCATAGTGAATCCCTTGGACCGTGCTAGCGTAAACTGAACACCGAAACGTAGTACTGAATGAGCGATAATTTTTTAACGTTATATTGGTATGAAGTATTTTGCTTAGCTTGGAAATTAGATCGACTCATATCACATGACAAATTCGACAGCCAACTTCATTTGTATCCACGTTTGACTAGTAAATACATTTAATATAATAATTGTGATGGCTGGTAATATAGTACGTAGGAGTACGGTAAATATAAGTTATAGACGCTTTATCTTTGAAATAGTGATATTTTTACTGTACAGTAGATTAAGTTTTGAAGTTGTCACTATACGCGTATGTAGTATTTACAGTAGAGTATACCTTCTCTTTTTATAAGTGGACGCGCTCTTTTTCTTTCCCTGGATAACGCTAGCGCTGTCCTTGATACGAAATTTTGGTTCAATTTTTTTGAAATGTGAGCGTAGATTGGAGTGACTGTAAGTGCCGTAGTGTTTATTAATATAATTACATCTTTTCTTGAAAAACTTGAATAGCGGGCCGATTTTGTTGATTGTCATAAGAAGTTTGTGATGCGACGCATACGCATAATAATCCCAAATAACGCTAGTGCTGCTTACTTGACAAATCCGCGTTAGCAGACACTGGAAACTACCGTAATTAATCAGGGATATCGGATATGATTTTCCTTTCTCTTCTGATTATCTAATGATAGACTTGTTAATGGATTCGGTATTCCGTATCCTTTGATTTTAGTATTTAGGCCCTTACGCAATGGGGTTATTAATGGTTCTAATACTGTTTGATAATGATAGTAACTTACATTCTTTAAAAGATTTTTAGTCTTTAACGTTAGGCCCGGAACAAAACGATGGCAATGTTGTATAGCTATGAAGTTTCAGTGATTGAGTAGCCTTCTATTATAATTGCGCCATTAGAAATTAAAGACATTCGTCAGTAGATATTACAGTGTAACTGTGAATATAACTAATTACCACATGAAGTAGTACATTTTGATGACGTTTGATTCCATTATGAATGCAGAGTTTAATCTGCTATGACTTTGTTATCCAAATTGGGTCAAAATTCTAAATCGTCGATTCTGAAAATTACAGTATTATATTAAGATAATTTCGTTTCATCGTTGGGAAACTATGTAATTTTATATCATAATTTATTACCATTGAAAGACTGTCAGAATTCTACTACTGTACAATAATATTATTGTAATTACAATTAATGGTAAAATATTCTTATTGTGCCTCATTATTCTAAATATGCGCCACTCGTTGCAGCTAACATTAGCAGTTAAAATTTAAATATTATCAATATTTCCGTATTATGGTTGATTGTAATGAATAACTGTTGCAAAAATTTTACAGTATTTTGACGTTACTCATAGGGTGGTGCACAACGCAATCGAGGTGTTTGCACATTATTACAGTCTTGTGGTTATATTTGATACTCATATGTGGGCTGTATTATTTACGATTACGTCTAATTACTTTTCTCTGATACTTTGCTTGCTACCTGAAATTGCTTAGTTTTACTTGCACATACAGTAAAAAATACGTCCTGGTATAAGTAATAATTTGCTATAAGAAAAATTAAATATGTTTTATTTTTTTTCTATTACAGAAAAATGGAGAGAACCAAAATAATCATAATAATTTAGAGAATATTTCACTAATAGATTCGATTGGAAAAATGTCTGAATTATCATCTGGCAATCTTAGTTATGGTGTAGCAACAAATGCAAAAAATGATCAGCAATTAACACCAGATAGCCAAAAAAAGCTTACAAAAGATAGTAAACGTGAAGGTATTATGTGATCGTATAAAGATAATGTTTTAACAAGTCATACTTAACGCAATTCTTGAATTTTTGTCATGAACTTACGATTTATGTGTAAAGTCCAGTATCATGGCATACACTCATATTACTTTTTATCTATTTTCTCATTTAACTGTTCGTGCGTATTAGAAAATTCTGACCAAAGGAGATCCTCCGAATCTGATGTCCATTCAAATAGTATACACAATTCCGAGGTATCTTTTATTTACCTTATTGAAGTTATCGTAAAATGACTGTTTAAGCACGTATGAACTTTAACGCCTTTATAGTTATAGATGTATTAATTAATAACGGTAATCTCAACCGCAGTTGCCTGACATACCGTTTTTATAATGTAGATATTCGCAATAAAATGGCACCCAAATAAAGAGTTAATAGCTACTGGGTAAGACATTTTATGATCTGCCTTAGTACTGAGGATGTACGCTATTCCACTTTATTACCGTCATCGTCTAAAATCTTATGTTATTACTGATGTATATACATAGATCGTCTGATGGGACTGCAAAGATATCACAACCGAATGAGGTCGAAGCAACGGTACTTGAACATTACCCGAATGAAATCGACAAAAGGCAACCTGAAGCTAGTAATGGCAATTGTGGTATTTCTGATCGCTATGCTGTAACTTCGATTGTTTGGAAGGTATGTAACCCTAGTAAATGCCATCGGTATAATAATAGACGTAACAACTGTTAACGTCAAAATGGAAATATTCTTATATATAGCCGGATGGTTCCCAGTTACTAACTGCTTGTGCAGATGGTAAAGGAAGAATTTGGCAGTTGGATGGTAAATTGATCGCTGAAACTTATCTAAGTTTACTTTACATGATGACTTTATAACCGAGAGTGTACTTTCTTATATATAGGTAAGCTAGTGGCGACGCTAAGTAATCACACAGCGCCGATTTTTGTTTGTCGGTGGAATATTGATGGTAGTTTAATTGCGATGGGAAGTGCCGATATGGTACGTGTAATATGAATAAGTAAAGTTAAGATTTCGTAGACTGTTTACTATTTCTTATTAAAACTGTAAATGGTAATGAAGCAACTTGAATTTGTGTAGCGTGTTACAATTTGGGATTCTTCAAGTTATGAAATGAAGCAATGCTGTGATCATCATAAAGGTAAACCATTACTACTGTAGACTATTACAATTTATTAATTAATCAGAACTTAGTATTACGAACGCTTATGTTATGCGGGTATAATGCAGGACCAGTAACGGATATTGATTGGCAAAATGTATCGATATTTGCAACTTGTTCTACGGATCGTTCTGTAGCTGTATGTGAAGTTGGATCTGAGAAGCCGATAAAGTCATACGAAGGACATACGGTATAATTATTAGTTCTGTAAATTACTGAACAAAGTTAGCTAATTTCTAATTGTATTCTGAAATAGAGCGAAATCAACGTTGTTCGATGGGACCCATCATCAAATTTACTTGCATCTGGATCTGACGATTGTACAGTGAAGGTACCAGGAATTTCATTTATTGGTAGAACTATTTTGATACCGTTTTATAAAAATCTGTGATTTATGTAATAAGGTTTGGAATTTAAAGCAAGATAAGTGTGTCCACGATTTCCGTGGTCATGTCAGAAATATTTACGCTATTAAATGGTGTCCAGTTAAGAGAGTGGTGTCGTGTAGTTGCCTTGCAAGGTATGTTCAAAACAACAGATAAATGGTAGAATGTTACTAAGTAGTTTTCAGAAGCACTGGTATGATGTTGGTCTATTTAATTATTAGTGCATCAGCCGATCGAACTATTCGAATATGGGATGTGGATCGTGGTATTTGCTTATATACATTGAATCGTCATCAGAGCCCTGTCTATTCTTTAGCCTTCAACTCCGATGGTAGACTATTGGCAAGTGGTTCATACGACACAGCTGTCAATATATGGTCGTTAGAAGTCAGTAACATTTATTTTTAGCTTGTACCTGCAATATAAATGTGTTTATAGAGATTATTATATTGTCTAGAACGGACTTCTCGTTCGGACGGTGATGATAGATGGACCGGTTTCAGATATTGATTGGCATAAAGATAATAGAATTGTTGCAGTTAGTGGCAATGGCTCGGTAAGAATCGCGTGTCTTTTTATCTAAAGTATCGAATTTAGGTGTAGACTGACTGTTTTCTTTTTTTTTACAGTCGTACGTTATTGACATGAGAAAGAATTATTAATGAAAGTACTTTATAGTGAAAATGGCGTATGGATCAGTACCAGTTCATTTTATATAAATTATTTGCTCTGTATTGTAACAGTACTGTATATATTTCTAAATTTGTAGCGAAAAATATCAAAAGTATACAATTCGTATTGTTTGCCTTATTTCGAGTTTTAATGTATGCTCTATTTTTTTAAATCTCACTAATGTACTTTATTGTAATGGATTGAATTATAGATTGATTCAATCGTAGACATAGAAAGTTTAAATTAGGATTAAATCGTACGAAACATACTGCTCTGTAAGTGTGTCTTCTATGCGATAGTGTAGTTTTTTGTAGGTAACATCTCGAGTATATTTGACGTTATCCCAACTCTCATTACACTGTACAGTATGTGGCACAGGGGTTTACTTCTTTAATGTAATTTCGAATATTGTACACCTTTTCGACCTGCAAAGGTTATCACGGTACTTTGCAGTTGTTTTCTTTCTAATAAAAGCTTTTTATTCGTCAGGTTCAATGTCTTGTTTTGGTAAAAGTAATTAAAAATGTAAATATTATAATCGTTAAACTTGTGGCATAAGACGGTATCAAACAGTTGATTCTTTCAGATTTGTTAGAGTATTTGCATATTGAAAATCATGATTTTGCTCATATTCGCACATATCCAAAGCAACAATGCAGCTTTCCTAAATGAAAAAATGAGTCGCTGTAATTGGCATAGTTACGTAAGTCGTTAGAAATATAAATATCTTAAGGAAGAGTAAACTTACTCGAACTAGGGGTTCACTATCGGAAATATACTTTCGTAACAATTCAAAGCATGCTTCCTGTCCGATATTCGTTTATAATAATGATAACATCAATGATTAATAACACGGTCATTTCTGCAAAAGATATAAAAAGGTACTAGTCTTGGATACCGTAGCGATAGAACCGAGAGCCTCAGCACATTCATGACGAACCATTGCATGTTCTGTTGAATCTTGTAAATGCTACAACAGTATTCATAGAGTATAGGGAAAGCTTTAAATTATTTCGTCAGATAGCAACTAATAACTGCTTTATATACCTTAGTTAAGCTTTCTACTGCAGCTTGATGTTGCATCTGGCCCAAGACATATGCTAGAACACATGGTGCATCAGGTTCGGCCATGGGAGATGTAACATAATGGAATTATTATCGAATAGATATTTAAATAGTCAGGATTATATTGTCATAAATATTGAAGAACCGCATTTGGAGTTAGTGCTCCACTAATCCTAAATTAAAAGCAGTTTACCAATTTCATGCTTAATGAGAGCGCCTTCTACATCTAATGCTGCTGCCAAAGCCTGTAAATATATTTTACGAATATTTTTATGACAGCAAATTCCAATAAAATGAATAATGATCTGACGAAGATACAATATAATACTAACTTTAACTGATTTATCGGTGGCCATATTACGTAAAGAAAACATTGCTCTATAAAATAGGTAGAGTACGTGAGAGCTATGAATGATATGTATTAGTAGTAAAAATTTGTGTAATACGAAAGATAATGACGTATTTAGGTCGCAATTACTGTACCTGTATCGGTTAAATAAGTCCTCATCAGCATTCGTTAGAATAGAGTAGAGCTTACTAACGTTATCCTCCTTACAAGGCGGGGCAGGGTCGATTGAGTTAAATGGATTATTGCTTTACACAATGATACAACAGCATAAATTAATGGTTATAAAGAAGCTGAAGTAAATATGAGCAAAACGTGATGATATCATTTACTAGATTGCGCATATACGAAAATATATGGTCACAATATCAATTTAATTAATAAGTACTAAATCTTACCTTAAGTTTTCTTTCGCACCATGAGTCTTTAACCATTGAATGCGATTTACTGCAAGATGACAGGTGTCTGCAATCTAAATAATGCACATAATTAAGACCAATTATATCCCTATGTACAGTACCAGAATCAATAGATTTATGACTATTCGTAAAAGCGGCTATCCATTGCAGCGATCCTTTCACAGCAATAGTTATAATCTAATATGAGACTACCTATTTTAAAATTAGCATCTATTTACTTCTCTAATGGGATGATTGCAATATTTTTGTAATAACGATAACAATTCTTCAGAATGTACTCCGATTGCGCCTAATGCCTCTCCTGCCTGTAGTCGCCAGAATATAGTGTCATAACTTTGATTACTCTCTTCTTAGATTTACTTTAATCATTGATCAGTATTTAACGGAATTTGTAATAATTGCAATACGATATAATCTCGGTTAATTTTTTTCTAACTTCATGGCGGACGATTGGTTCTTGGTTCTCATCTTCCAGTAAACTATTGGAAGAAAGATAATTTGGTAATTCTGATTTTGTGGCATGGGTGCTATGATTATATTATTGATACAATTGAATGAGTATAATAAGATACGAAATTCTAAAGTAGCAAATAATCTGTGAATTCTCTAAGTAATCAGGTTAATAAATTAGCTTAGTGTCTAAACTAGATAAATTTTGTATAATTACATTATGATGTGTTGACATCTACATTAAACAGCAACTTAGCAATAATCCACTCGCAGACAACGATACCTTAATATAATTTATCCGTATGATTAGCTAAATGGCATTAGCTTAATTACTGAAGTACTAGGCAATATTTTTAAACATAGAAACGGAATACTTTAAAAGGATTTCAATCAAGAAATTGGCGTAGGATTATCTGTGCTTACAAGATTATATTAGGCCTTTTGTTATAACACCTATTCGATATCTTACCTGATTAATACAGGTATTGCATCTTGATCCTAGAGTAAACCGATATCGAGTAAGGTAAATGTAAGAATAGAAAATTTCAAGCAGTTGTGTTATGTTCTAATATATCTATCACTAATTCTTATTGCTACTGTAAGTAGCAACTATGAACAGTATGAGAGTATCAGTAAATCATATTGGCTAACTGTAAAATAGCTATATAGTTGAAGGTAATTGAAATTGGAGTACGAATACTTAATTTTTAAATTTTACGCAGCGCGATCCTGGACTTTTAAATTAATGAAATTAGCATATCGTATATTAGCGTAGATCACTACCGTATGAGTGAAGCTAGGCTTATGTTAAATTATACGTACGAGTATATCACAATAAAAGCCTGTGCAGCACTTTCGCTACTATTGTATTGCAGAAATTATAATCTAAGTTACTATTGCAATATCCAGCAACCAGGAATTTCCGAAATAGAAGCTGACTGGTATTCGCTGTCAGCATTAATTAAGAGTATTTTATTCACTTTAATATGAACTACTGTATATGCTAAAACCGTCCCGAACTTAAAATAAGAAATACTGTGAGAATCAGAAAAAAGTTAAGCAAATGTCTAGCTAGATCTGCATGCTTACATTTCGTGTTAGAAGAACATTGTATACGTGATTCCACTACTACCAGAATGTCATATAGCCTTTTAAAATAATCAAATAAGCAGTTATTTACCTGCATCTGCCCTAAGCAAAATGCACATTCATGTTTTAATAAAGCGGAGGAATCGTTAAAGCCTGTTATAAATAGTGCAAAAATAGATGACGATGAAAGACTAATTGCATAGAAATTTGTGGCAACTTGTAGCTGAATTACGGCAGGAAGTTGCTAGAGATTGTAAGACTTACAATTGTTAATTTGAGAAATGGCCTTGCTGCCACCGATGTTACGCAGTGTAAATAGAGCTCGAAAACGGCTTGGTAAATCTCTGTTTATAATTGAGTGTTGGAATAAAAGAAAAGAAAGGTTATCTAAGTTATACTTGCAGCAATCACAAGCAGAGAGTAAACTGACATTAGTGAATAGAGGATAATCGTGGTATTGCATTTGTCAAAACTAGACTATGTCACTACAAGAGTATTAAGCTATCTCGTAGATACTGTAGTACTGTACTGTTCTAAAGAGGCACGAATTAATTCGTAGCGGAATACCTACGTATAATTAATTATTATTATTATTAAAAGTACACATACACTGTATAATCAAATTGCAGTGACGCAAATGATAGGAATAATCCGAATTGCAACAATGGTATACGATACACCAAAATTAGCGATTGGAATACAGTAGCAGTATAGCATCCATTGCAACCAGACTAGACCACTAAAAGAACCTTAAGTTGTCCCATGGTCATTAAAAAAGTCAGCCATAAGAAGAGTAGATTGGTAACTTTCCAAATCAAGCTGTCATAATCCAAATGACAGCAATCGCATACTGTACATGGCGAATGGAGTAAAGTAATAGCACAATACTTGTATCAAACATAATCAGACTAAGCCTTTACAAGATCCTTGAGCTGTGTCATAGTACTAAAAAGGGCATGCATTAATAGAGGATAACTTGTAAGTTCATAAATGAGCTATCCCACATTAGCATACCGATCATTTCATTGCAATTAATATACAGTACTGTATGTACAAAACATGATTAATGAATGAACGAAGCTCATTGAATATCGTTTTGGCTGTAAACTTAGGTATTAACCTTTTAGGATCGCATAGTACTCTACCAATTATCGTGATATCTTCCTCTTTGACTTGCATGGTTCTATTTGATAAATTTCTGTTGATTTTAACGTCTAATTTTGCCAATTGGATAGACTCCAGAGAATTCGAGCAAGACCTTGATCGGAAGCCTCACGCAGCATTTGACCCAGCTAACCTTGATGGAGATTGCGCATTGAATCAGTTGTAAAACTAATGTCATCCCTAAAGCATTTTTCTTATAGTATACTGTAGTATACAGTATAGGCTAAGCAATACTGTAAGCTATAAAATTGATGGAAAGGATGATCCTATCCCCTTTCCTTTATTGCGACATTAATTTTACAGTACATCAGACGTACAGTATATTGTACTGCACTGATTATACAAAGTACTGTAGTACACAGTACTTTTCGACGTGGACGTCTGGTCGTCCGGTCGTCCTATTCTAGCATTAGCAATCAGCTTCCAAAGCGTCTCGTGCAGCCATTGCTCCCTTTACTCTATCTTGGCAATTGCAAGTTTAAAGTCATTATTCATCTCCGAAATAGTAGATAATCTACGTAAATTACTATTTTTCATTACTCTTGGTTGGCTAAATATACTTGCTGTACTATTAAATCATCTGATTCTAGGTTACCTACGAAAAATTTTCCTCATCTTGCACCTCGTTGTAGAGCTCAAGCTGCAAATATTCTCTGCTTTTATCAACACTGCATTTGCTTCTATTGTAAGCTAAGAGTAGTCTATTTTCCACTAAATGATGAACAATTTAACTAGGATCAATCTTTCTTCTCACTTACCCTTGTCTGTAAGTAATTGGTTTAATAGCATTAGCTGTCGAAGTGTCCAACTCTTAACGCGATTGAGATATGTCGATAATTGTGAAAATGCTGGTAAAACGACAAAATATGACCGACCTTACTGTATCAAGTTGTACAAAAATAGGAAAGTCGCCAAATGTGGTGATATTATTATGATTGCACATCGTGGTAAGACTTATAAAGCGCTTCTAGTTAGCAATCGTCTACCTAGCAAGACTCTGCCAAGACATGATACCAATAATATTGTTCTATTAAATGATAAGTTGGAGCCGGTTGGTACTCGTATTAAAGGACCTATCCCGACTGCTTTATTTCGAAGGGGAAAATTCTCCAAAGTTCTTGCAATTGCTAGTAAATTTCTATAAAAAGATTGTATTAAACAACCCAGCAACCAAATAGTGGCTATAAATTAAAGTTCACAAATCATCTCCTACGTGCGTATGAGCTGGTCAAATAATAATTTCGGCGTATATGATATGGTCAAGTAGTCTATAAAATAGGCAAGACAGGAGAAAATCAGCTTGTTCAGTAACATTAAAAATGCTGATACTGCTATGATGCAAATTTTTGTAATAGTCAATAAAAAAGTGGCGTTATAAAAAGATTTAAAGGAATTCTCTATAATAGATTACACTGGACTAACGTAGGTTTGATCTAGAAATTGATTAATAACTAATAATTAAGCCAATTTTGCTGCAAAAATGTCTGCATGACCTAAGTAGCAAGATTAATTTTAAGTTCAGCATTATTTATTGCCGATATTGTTCACATGCGTCGCCTCTCTACAGTATACACAAATGACCTCTTTGTAATAATATTTTTGCTGGTAAATCTGTATGATGCTCGTATATAGAGAAAAATTATGGTGCAACATGTGGAATAATTTTTTCTCCTACATGTAACTTTTACCATAATGTTTGTATCTTGTTTTATCATGATTAAATGTCACCGTTGAGATACGTATAAAAACAGAACAGCTACCGCTCTATACTGTACGTCCATTTCTCATTTTTTAAATAACGAAGATCGCCATATTTAATTTCTAAACTGAATATCAATTGATAATCTTGCTAGGATAAAGTAGGAATCATACGAGTATTGGGAAAGTTGATAGCTGCTACTTTTATGTTGCTGTAGGGTATTGTTGCATAGTGTATTTTATCAAAAAGTGAATTCAATTGTCATGCATAATAAACTTTAAATTTTATCTGTCCTATGCCATTGGACGTCGATCTATGTTTAAAGTAATGATATTGTAGATTTTAGTTTTCTCCTATGTTCTGAAGATATAAAACTATTTACGGTATGTAGTAACGTGACTTTAGAGCTTCTTAAATGAAGTTTTAAACAATTTATTAATGGCTTATTTTAACAAATGGGCTAAGGAACTGGCACTCTTATAAAGTATTCTTTACTATATTATGACATTGAATCCGCACGTATCGAAAATCGTTACTATATCTACAAGTATATTAACAAATTGTATCTTACAGTTATAAGATGTAATAGTTCATCTAGCAAAGCATTTCAATACAAATGGACTTGACTATATTTCATATAACCATAATACAGCAGACGAAAATACTACGTGTACTACTGATATATAATCTGCGGTCATAGCTACTTTTACAGCACCAACATAATAAATTCAGTTCAATTGCTAATAGAATGAAGGAATTAATGGCTAATTATAGAAATGGAAGATGATAGATTTAATTGGATGGTGGTCCTCTATATTTCGAAGTTTTCTTAACAAAACCTCTGTCGATGACGCTGTAAGCCATTTCCTTCATAGTCTCGTCAACTGATCTAAATGTAATTCCTAATTCTTCTCGAGCCTAGGACGATGTAATGAAAATTAGACTTGCACTATACAGCAAATTACGGTATAAATCATTTCTGGATAGAATAAGCATATAACCCAACTTTGATTTAATAACATACGAGCATACACAGCAGTGCATGTAATGTTTATGGTGTATTTTACAGCGTTTCTCCATGCAGGTTACATTAAATAAGCGAATTTACTATTGATCATTTCAGGAATTAAATCAAGCGGCTTAATAACATATAGTACGCGTGTATGCATGCAATTTACATTCTACCGTATTATTACTTAAGATACTTCTACCTTAACTTATCCTTAAATAGCATCACCCTGTTTATTAATTATAATCATTATTGTATAATCTTGCATGCAATCCCTTACAAATTAGAAATTATCCATAGGTTACCTTGTCGTTGGAGAAGACAGCAGCTACTCCAATTTGCGGTAGGATAAGCTTAACGGAAGGATCAGTAATAGAGGCTAGACGAACCAAAAATCGTGGAGCTCTTTTCGTTGGTACATTATAACCTAAATACGAATATAGTGGTTGATTACAGAGCTAAGAGTATGTAATAAACATTATATTGAATTAGTAAAAATTATTAATTAACTATAACAATCGATCGCTTCGCGTGAATAATTATGTATTTATTATTCCTAATAAAGTAGCCTTATAATCGTTTTACGTATAATTGCAACGTTTACCTTGAGATTTAAATTCCTCCGATAACATGGCTGCAACGTCTAGCATGCGGCAGCATTTAGAAACTAAGATATATCGATTTCCTAAACAACAGCAACAATAAACATCGGTTATCAACGTAATATAAATAAGAGCTGTAAAATTTATATCACATTCTTTATGCACTATAAACTAGTACCATTAATAAATTTATAAAAATTTATCAGTATAATTTATCTAACAATCGAAGGATTTGCTTTAACCTTTACTACATTATCCGCCCGTGTGCTGCATCGATATACTGAGTTTTAAGTATAACAAAGTATTAATACCTATTCGATTATACGTAGATACTTCTACTACAGTTATTATGCACACACATAGTCAATTTGATAAATGTCGATGCCCAATTTTTAAAATAGTAAATGGGCTTTGAAAGGTTGATGTCATGATCGAGAAAATATCATATGTAGTATAATTCATATAACATGTATAATGTAACCTGGTGCCTTTGGGGAAGTCATTCCAGCAATATGGGCAGCAGCTACGTCGCGAACATCGACAATAGAGAGACAGATATCAGGGAGACGAGGCATCTTCCGTTCTAACATCTTAGATATTGCCTACGAAGAATAATCCATGAAGGTATAAAATTAAAGTAGTATGAGCATCGCTGGTGTAGAAGATATAAACCCGGAATACCCTGATGTAACTATAACCAATATCAGTATTAAAAAAGGGTAAAAATTAACTACCTATTCATCCAGCAAGTAAATACGATATCATGTAATTAAATATAAGAATGCCATTATTATATCTTGCAGTTTATCAGGAGTGCTAGTTACTTGTAGCAAATCTTGTCGATGTTTATTTTACTGTTAAAATTGTCTTTTACTCTCGATCTACAACATAGTCCTAGTTCTTATTTAAACTATCCGCTTAACCAAAAGAGACCTACTTCTAAACTGGTGCAATTGGTTCCGCGCAAGATTGGGCCTTGTATATAACCGGGATTCATAGTTACCAACTCGAACTTTTCTGAATCTATAGCAAAGTCGAGATCCATCTAAGTTAAATAATTCAATGTCTTCGTATTGTTTGCTAAGGACATAAATGCTAATGTAGATCTTGATTAGATAATGATAATGTCATTGGTTAGCAGGTCCTTAAATGAATCAGTATCGACTAACAAATAGTACTTTAATATTAAGTAAAGCAATTAAAGATAAATCGTTATAAGATGTTGTCTTACCAGGAAGGTTTTTATGAAATTCCCAAGCCGCTTTTTCTGCTAAAACTTTACTTTTAGGATAAGGCATTGCAGTAGTAGGGTCAAGCCAATCCTCTTCAGTGAAATTAGAATCTTTTTTGGGAATAGCTTCATCTAGTGAAATTAAAATTTACTAATATCATAGCAGCAACATACAGTATTAATGCTAAATTTTAATAATTCAGACAAAGGTATTGCAAAAATCATGTTAAAATTAAATTCAAGATAGCATATTATTGTTGATGAATTTATCAAGAAGGAAATATTCTATCGTATCTACTGTTATACACGTAAAATCTGTGACGAACTTCCAACCGCTACGATAGAACTTGTTAGAATCACTCTTTTTACTGTGCCAGACTTAGCGCAAGCAGCTAGAACTGTTTTTGTCCCCTCGACTGCTGGCGTAATTATTTCCATCTCGTTTTTAGGAACTCTATTTGGAAACGGTGAAGCAATATGGCAGACGTACGTACATCCTTCTACAGCCCTTATTCAACAAATAAAGTTCTAACTGTAAGTTTAACGAAATGTTTATCCAATATTATGGTATAATATTAGAAGAAGTGAACTACTGTAGACAATGTAGCCCTCAATGTAATGTTGAAATAAAGGAACAGTTTTAAATTAGCAGTGTAACCAACTTGGTCCAACATTCTTTCTCCATCAAATCTGCTTCTACTAGTTCAAGAGAGTGTTCAGAATTTTCTGCAAGCTCTCGTAGAGGCTTTACCTTCTTTTCGCTCTTCAAACTACGAACTGTACCTCTTACACGATAACCTTTTTGTAATAATTGAAGGACAACGTGGCTGGCCAAGTAGCCCGATGCTCCAGTAACTAATACTAGTGTATCGTTTGCAGCTGCAGACATTTTCGCTTTAAAGATAATTCTAATCGTTACAAAGATGGTAGACTGATTTAGTCAATACTGATTAATATTCGAATTGATGAGACTTACTCATCAATTATGATGAGGAATACGGAATGACTAACGCCTATTATTGATTTTGTCATATAAATAAATGTCGTCTTATGGCCAATCAGCAAGCGTAATTAGGTTACTGTTATTGATCAAATAAACGGTAGCTACAATTAGTACATGTTAATATGCTTATAGCCGTGTACCTACTGTAGAACTGTATATTGTTTTTTCTCCTTATTTTGACTATAGCATTATGTATAATTGCACGAGAATTAACATATTATCATGATTGTATTTTGGCGGTATACTTATAGCAGTCTACTGCATGAGGGATTAGCAATGAGTATCCGTAAAATGTGCCTGCAGGCGGAATACTGACTGTGATCTACTTTATTTACCTTTGACTTTGGAAGTATACCGTAATATATGAGAATTAATCCGTTCATATACTTATTGATCGCGTAAATGGTAGCTACAATTGGTAGCTGCAAATATCATTGTAGCTGACTACATCTGTAGTAAGTTGCTTTTATCCCTTTGCCTCGACTATGGTAGTATGCTTAACTGAATGAGAATTGATACGTTAATATGGTTTTATTATAGTCTACTGCACTAGGAATAAGCAATTAAAACCGGTAAAATGTACATGCAGGCAACATTCGTAGTTACTGTGGCTTTGAAGCATACTGCATTGCAGGAGAATTAATCCATTCATACGGCGTATACTTACATGACTTACATCCAGCATACGAGTATATGTAAATTATTGACGTCCAACATTATAGCAGTAAGCCGAGGACAGCATAACAGTTGATCTAGAAGTTGGCTAAACGCGGATATACTAGTTTATACTAAAACTTATACCTATATTATTATCTATAAGGGCTGATCTTTTACTAGGTCGTATGCTACAATACTATTATACCGCTGCAGTATTATATAATTTACTATGTTATTTTTGCAAGTAAACTTTCAAATATAGATGAAAACTCGTTATGATTCATCATTCGGTACCTGTGATGGTTATGATTCAGTTTATAAACATATATCCGTTATTTGTTGTCAACTTGCTAGACTATATTGATAAATCAGTAAAAGAAACTGCAGTTTAATCGTTCCGTTTAAGTAAAAGTTTATCATACGATACAAAATAATAGCCTATGGTATATTTTTCCTTTAGTTAAAAGTGGTAGTAGCGTCGTTAAAGGCTAACTGGTTTACCGTCACTGCTCAGATATCTTACATGTTCTTATAGCACAAATAAAATTGAAGAAATATTCTACAACGTAATTTCTATGCGGTATATGATATCGAATATTAAGATTAATATCATGATCTGCTGTAACTTTGCACGTAATATTGTACTACTATCAGTCAGCTGGTATTGCAAGTGACCACTCATTTGGACAATTTATCTGATAAAAGTTGGGGTAAATATTAACGAGTTTAGATTGATGTAAAGACTGTCCTTGCACAAAGTCGATAAAGCAGAATAATGATAAATTATGAATATAAGAACAAGAATAAAGATTACAGAAAAACGCATTCGAAAATTTTACGGAAAAGTGAAGATGAACCAGTAAAGAAATTCTATTTGATCAAAAAAATTCTAGATTATCAATTTACAGTACTTGTCCTGAGAAATCAATAGGCATAAGAATGCTATTGGTCATAATATGAATCTATTAAGCTAGTCGATACAAAAATAATGTGTAAGCTGTATGTAATATCGCGTTATAGGATAAGATTTTTATTCAATCACAATTTGGCATTGTACTTGTCAACATAACATGGCAAAATATTAACTACTGCGGTTGGAGCCTAACATGAAGGTGTATCAATAAAAATTTTGATTAAAGGTTACAAAAGCGACCTTCTTTACAATTTCGAAATTATTTTTTTTATGTGGTATTGGCGCATTGGCTAACAATGAGTAAGAATAGTAAATTACAATTTATCGTTTCGATAAACTGCAATACTTTCATCGATCTCAAAGTTATTACAACAGATATCTGACTTTAGTAGATTTTAAAATTTTACAAACTACCTTTTGCATTGTAAAGATTAAATGATATAGCGTATAATTCATATGATATACTCAAATGTTTATAATCACCAAAAGTAATCAATATAAGCACGAATGCCAGAATTACCATTAAATTCATTACGGAAATGAAGCTTTGATAATTAGTGAGCATAGATGTTAATTTCTGCCTTTATAAGCGGGAGTTTTTTTTATAAAATCGCGTTCAATCATGCTGTAAGCCATGTCTATAACAGACTCTTTTGCAGATTTAAAGTTTATCTCCAAATCTTCCTTAGCCTGAAGAAAACGATATTCATGTGTTAATCAGGACCAGATTACTATAAATTAATGCTGTTACTACTTCTAAATAACCTTTGTATTATTGAACTTAGAAAAGTGTCCAATATTCGGTAATATAGTGGCGAGTGATTTATCAAACCATGAAAGAGTCCATAATAAAAAGTAAGGTGCTGTTGCCGTCGGAGGGTTATAACCTAAAGTATTTTTTTAACATACGTTTTTTATCCCATTTGACAATTTTAAAATATTACTTTCTCGGTATAAGTATAAAATAATGCAAGTATCTCTATTGGATTATTATGACGCAACTGGAATGAATGAATACCTTGAGTTTTAAATTCGTTCAACAACGCTTGCCCCACGTCTCCCATCCACATATTTTCCGAGACTAGGATGTAGCGATTTCCTAATAGGAAGGACATTTCATATGGAAAATCCTATGCATTAGTCGATGCAACTGCATTATAGCATTTATATTTCAGTTGATAAAACTTTATTCGCCAATATAGCATTACCTGCGGCTTTTGGAGCTGTTAAGCCAGCAATATGAGCAGCGGCAACGTCACGAACATCCACAATAGCAAATGACATTTTCGGTACTGCGGGCATCGCTCTCTTCATTAGTCTCATTACAACCTATGAATTATGCATAGGACATTTATTAGCAATAAGCGCAAACACATACTGAAACTAAGAGTAATAAATTTGAAATGATTCTCCGATACATGGTGTGCAGTCTGAGATAATTGTATCTATATCTTTAATAAATGAAATCGGTTTGTTGTTGTAATCAATTACTAAAACCATTCAACCTCTAAGCTGGAACAATAAGTTCCTCGGATGACCGGGCCTTGAATATATCCAGGATTGAAAACTACCAGCTCAAACTTTTTGGATTCTAGAAATGAATTGCACACTCAGTCTCTGTAAACGCACACACACCGTCGATATTTCAGTCAAGTTAATCGATTTATAAATATTGATTAAGTATTGGACACTTGAAATATTAATAGTGGACATACATGGATTTGATATATTACTGATACATCAAGGATAAGGATAGTAAGATAGATTAAACCTTATTTACGTCAGATAGAATTGACTTAGAGGAAAATGTTAAGTTCTATATCAGCAATTAGTAGAGTTCAAGAATGGGAATAATCATTTGGATAAATGCACTTTTCTTACCAGGCAAATCTTTAATAAATTCCCAAGCGGCCTTTTCAGCTAATATCTTGCTTTTAGCATAGGCAGATGCTTTTTCAGCATTTCCCCAATTTTCTTCCGTAAATTCAGTGCCATTTGGTGCATCTACTCCACCTAGTGTTTAAGAGAATATACAGTACAGTAAATTGTAGTCGTATAAGGAGTACATCTATAACAATATTGACTGCTTAGTCTTGGATAGTTATGATATCTAGAGAAGGAAAAATGGATCTAAGAGTACTTTATAGTGAGTGATACTGTTTACAAACTTAGCGTAAAGCTTTCAAAAGTAACTAATAGGGTCTATTTTTGTACTTTAAGCTGCACTTTCGCGTGCGTTAGTTTTGCTTTACTGACCCTATAATGCCTTTAGACCAGCAGTTGGCATACAATAACTTTCGTATTTTAATTTATGTTTTAATTTATTAGTGTAAGGATAGACTCTAGACACTTTAGTACATGTTACATGTTTAATCTCTGATTAGGTGGTGTCCAGGAACGATAGCTGTAGGCATTCGATATCGTAATAATCATCAATAATAAAAAATCAATACTGAGCAAGTGAATTACGGGTTAAAATGACATTACCTATAATAGCAGCAATAGAACTTGTTAAGGAGACTCTCTTTACAGTTCCAGAATTAGAGCAAGCTTCCAATACTGCTTTTGTGCCATCCACTGCAGGCTTAATGAGATCCATTTCGTTATTAGGAGCTTTGATTGGGAAGGGAGAAGCGACATGGCAGACATAAGTGCAACCTTCTACAGCTCTGATTGAAGTCAAAAATTGTAGCATGATTTAGCAAATGACAAAAGTTCAAGGTGAATCAGAATTATTACAGTAGAAAGACATCATTGTAACTAAAAGGAAAATTAGATGATTTCTCGTAACGTTACTTAAGTCCGTATTCAGTATACTATTTTTTTATCTGAATAGCATAAAATGAGCAGGCTATCGTAATTACAGATCAGTTGGCAACGTTTAGAGTACGCTCACATCAATCTATTTTATATTTATGGAAGCCTTCTTTGTCCTTTTCTCCATTCTTGACAAGTAAAAATTATTTATAACCTTTCCAATTTTTATTTATTTGTACTGTAAACAAATATACAGTACTTTGAATATTGCAATGAGTCATAGCTAGAAAAGCCTAACCGATTTGATATCATTATGATTGTAAAAGTAAATTACTGAAGTTAGATATTGTTATGTATGGGGACAATTTTATTAAACTAGTCAAGTATCAAAGTACTATGCAACTTATTGTATCCATCTTTACGCTGAATAAAGAATATTCATCTTATATATGCTATTTCTAATACCTATTAATCTCCACAAAATAAATCTACGCGTCTACGTCTATCCAAATACGAGTCCGTGCTGTATACTGTATAGTGTCCACTTGTCCGGTTAGCTATATTACACATAGGCGTACGTATGTAGACTTTAATAAGGTTCTATACTACAGACATACTTGATCCATGAATCTTTATTCAGTAAATCTGCTTCAACCAATTCAAGAGATTGCGGTGAGTCTTTGCTTAATTGGCGCAATGGCTCCACTTTTTCCTGATTTTGAAGGCTTCGAACAGTACCTCGTACCTTGAGCCCTTTCTGCAATAACTGCTGGACAATATGACTTGCTAAGAAACCCGATGCACCTGTGACTAAAGTGATCGGTTGGCCATCATTTTCATAACTCATCACTGAAAGATTTACGGGAATGGTCGATCAGTAGATCCTGTAGGCTATAGCAAGGAAAATTTTTAGCAATAACCGTTGTACAAGGCAATAATGAGCAAGGTAATGAAACAACTTCCTTGCACTAATGCTAGTCTCAAAATGAGCCAACAGTAATCTGGGCGGATTGGGGTCAAGACGAAAAATACTGCACTAAACCTACTGTAGTGTATAGTACTGTACTGTATCCTGAACAGGAGTAGTGCTTACGTGACATTCTATCAGTAACCCTAGCTCTTACTTACTATATTGTAGTATGATGGTATAAATAAATTATCTAAATAAATAAATAAATTATAATATATTATAGTGTATAATCCATCCATGACCTTGATTCGAAATAGTGCAGGACTTTTCACTATTTTGCATATTAAGTGGAATGCTATAGGCTGAGTTGATAACCTGTTTATGGTTATACTATTGGATAGTAATATCACTGATTACACGCACTACCAACGGATTATTTTAGAGGTAAAAAGATTTTTAATTGTCAAGTTTCTCTTTTTACTATTTTTGTATTACTGTATTGTTGTTGGAGAAAAACTCAGTAAGCTTTAACTACCGGCACCGGTCCGCGATGCACGGATCGTGGCAGAAAGCCTATCTATATATTTATACTACAGTATGCATAGTATTCTATATTAATAGACTTGTAATTAATATGCATTAGCTCTGGTTTCTATTACTGTATATTAGTCTAAAGTGCGATTAAAATTCATGCAAACTCACAAATCGATAAACTATTGTACACGCAGAAAAGTTTTCTGCGCCACTTTATAGTCACAGTCTACTCCTGTACGATCATGGTACAATCGGTAGATTTAGCGAGTTGTCTGTAAGATCAGTGAGTCGTTGTTAAAAGCCATTTTCTACTGCATTTCTTTTTTAGTGCTTGGGTAGTCCATGACTCAATCTAGTCAAGCAAATAGTGTAGGGAGCCAATGCTAAAATGAACATCACTGGGATTATATATTGGAAGCCATCTTGCCTTCGAGCATGCGCAAAGAAGGGTTACCTTGTCACCATGGAGACACTTCTCTATCAACGAGTAGCAGACTTTGCACGCCAACAGTGAACTCCAACTGCTCAAGATACAGCAAACATCGACTCTACTGTATGTACACAGTCAATTAAAGTTGTCAGAAAGTACAAAATAATACCATAACCACGTCAATAGGTGTCATGCACACCTAGTGATTTATATCGTTAACGTGCTGTAGTAATTAGATACAAACTCGTTCATTTCATTTGGAACTATCTCGCGATTGATATGCTTTTTACACGGTTATCTATTCCAGAGGGCAAAGAGCAAATAAACCAGAGCGACGTTGACAACATTATTTAAAACTTTTAAAGAAGCATTCCAATTTTAATTTTTATCTTAAGATTAAGCAGTGTTATTGCTGTCCTGGACAATATATATTTTATGTCTATTCAAAATTAATCTATACGTACCTTACTAAATTGCCATCATGTCTGATGAAGGAGATATTGGTATCCAATTAAATAGTTCATTGCACGAACTAGACCATAAAGTGCAAAAGGTAATAGAGGAAAATCAAGGTATACTTCAAAACCTCAATGTCATGATGAATAATAAAGAAATCTCGCGGCTACATCAACAACTGAAAACCGCTGTTAGTAGTAGTTCTGGCCTACTAGAAGCTTTACAACCCGTCTCGGATATTGTACAAAAATATGAACGAGAGGTTAGTAGAAAATTGACGACGTTGGATTATCCTCAAGATCTTACTGAGGCTAGGAGACGGCTTGATCAAGAAAGGGAAGAATGGGAAAAGGAAGTCGAAATTCAAAGAAAGGAACTTAAGAATGCCTATCGAGAAGTTGAAGAAGCTAGGAGCAGCATTAATACTATAGGACGTGAGTTAGCAGCACAAAGAATTGCGTTAGAGGAAGAAAGGTTATCTAAAATCAACGGTAAGATATTGATTTATGATAATTTTGTCATACAGTAATTTGCGAAACTTAGCCATAATAAGCCAGACTGATAGATAATAATATACTATGGTAGTTGTACCTTATATTATGCTATTGTGTATAGCGAATAGTAGGGTAACAATTAGTCATGCTAAAACATTATAATCATTAAAATGGTAAAAATTAAATGCCTTTCAATTTCTTTCCTTAATATTAATATTTCTATTTAAAAAATTATATATAGGAACGATTCAGATATTACGAGAAAGTGATAGTGAAAAATTGCAATATCATTTGAAGCAACAAATGCTTAAAAATGTTAAGTTAGAAAAAGAAAAGATTAAAGTGGATTTTAAACTGCAAGAAAAAATTGAAGCTTTAAAAATAGCAAATGTAACGATACAAAGATTGGATTCTGAAGTGATTCAATCTAGAGAAAGTACAGAGAAAATTGTAAAACAATTTGAAAGGCAAACTGTTGAGGGTAATCACATACGCTAATTAAATTACTGCACTACGACTACTACTACTTAAATGATCCTTAGCTACTATCGATGTACCAGTATTTATCGTGCATATATGAATGTACTCGTTGTTGTTAGCGCTATGGTTAAAGTCATTCTCTAAGTAATCATGCAATTATATCGCACAGTAAATGTCGGTATAGCCACTTTGTAGAATAATACTTATCTACATCGCTATAAAGATACCCACATTCTTTATCGTAGATTGGTCTTACTTTCTAATATTTATAAATTTGCCTTCAAAAATTGCTTGCTATAGGTAAATAACGATAAATTTTTGTATTTTATTTTTATTAATTAGCTAATAAACGATTAGCTGAAATGCAGCAAGAGTTGGAAAAAGCAAAAGAGAGAGCCTTGAGATTTCAAAAAATGCTCAAAAGTGAGAAATTGAAACAGATGGCACTAGAGGTGTGCAGCAATAGCGGAACAGCTTAATCGCAATTAAAGGCTATACTATACAAAGAATATTACGAGAATTTGTAGTTGATCAAGATAATAGTCTTCTACAAAATTAACTTGCAACCACAGTCAATATCGTATTTAACCCAATCTTTATGTAGGCTGCGTTGGAGAAAGAAATACGTCTTAGAGAAGCTAGTATTACAGGACCTGAATTGTCGCCAAGGATGGAAAAAATGTATATATCTACAGTTAAGGATACTGTAGATCAAATTGCGCCTGTTACTATCCTCGGTACTACTACTGATGCTAATGAAATTAAAAAAAGAAGTCAGGTTGGCGCATTCTTGTTAATTTTACTTTATACGTACAAACAATTTCATATGAATTTGTCACTCAATATCTACATACATTACCCCTAAATTTATATGTATATTGTAGCATTTGTTGTATGATCAAGCCTTCTTGAGAGCAAAATTACGTCAATATGAATTCGAAAATTCTATCCATCTTAAGAAAATAAGAGAAATTAATGCCGAAAAAGAACATTTAGAAGTATGATAACTTTAATATTTTTTTGTCTAATGTACGATTAATGAGTGTAACTCAGTAGCTATTTTGATTAGGATAATTGGTAGCGAGCAAAAAATTAATTCTGGTAGCTAAAGTTCATTATTTTATTGATCTAGGCTCAATTAGTTATAATGCATGATGGTCGGTTAGAATTAAAGAAGAAGTTTGAAAAATTAGCAAATGAGGTAAGGCACAAATCAAACATGAGCAAGTCATATTAGTATTAGTGTAGTCTATTTCGACTTAGGTATAAGTTTTTAATCATGATTAATTTACGTTTACGATATACGAGTAATGAGATTCTTGTCGATTATTTTGTATAGCATCGACGCTTATTATCTACTGTAAGTCGTCAGAGAACTGATTGGTTTCAGAAACATCGTCAAGAACAACAACAGATTGAGGAAGCTAAATGGTCTAAAATTGGACCCATGCCACTAATTAATAGTCGCTTACGAACACAGTTTTCATCTGAACGTTGATATTTTATGACGTGATATGACGTTAACTTTGCAAATGGATACGGTGCATCTTATAATAAGGATCAGCTCTGGTAAATAATTTCTAGAATAGAAATTATTCTAGTTATATTCTAGGCCCTCATTTTATAATTTTATAAATGGATATAATCTATTCATCAAATAAGCGCCCAAATGTTTATCATAACAGTTATTTTATAATAGTATCGAAATTACGTTATAACAGTTTGTCATCGATAAAATTTATAATGCGACAGGTAGTGCTTTGTTTGTTTATTTTTTTCTATAAACATTTTAAGTATAGTGTAGGAGTTGATCTATTTTCTTAAGACTAAATTATTCCAAAGTACGTTTAATTCGACAATAAGAATAAGTAGCTATTACTATTGAAATGTTCTGATTTGAAATATTTGTTAAAGTGTTCTTTTAATATTTTTTGTATATGTATATATATTGTTACGGATATATTTTGATATGCTGAGATGTCGATGCATGCGATAAATCTGTACTCATATAATTAGCATCGAGAAAACAAGACATAATTTATTGTATTTTCGTCTTCAATCTCTAAAATAATCGCGGAATTTAATGGATAATGTAGATTATGTAATAGTAAATGTCGCTTTAGATTCGATTTTAATATTCTAATAGTGACTGACGTCGTTTAAATCGATTTCTGTCACGAAATTAAAAGTTGTCGATTAATAAGGAAGCTTATCAGCGAGCCAAAACATTACTTAAAGCTTGCTTAGCTTAATAGCAGCTATTCTTATTTGTTACATTCTTTATGTGGCGGTATAGCGCCAAAGATTGCTATTTTCAGTATCATAATTTTATCAACTTAAAATTCCTTGCTAATATACCGTAATGGCTATTTAATAGGCACAATTTTTAACATAAGTATGTTATTTAACTCGGACGGTGCCATGATGGGACAACTGAAATAAATCGATGATATATTAAATTAAGCTTCATCACACTGAATGTGTCTAGTCGCTCTCATTAAAATTAAAATGTAATGCTAAATCTTGCCTAATTATTTATCTTCTAGATAACTTATTTTTCCAGAACTGAAAAATAGTTTCGTCGATATATGATACAAATGCAGGCTTTTAATGTATAAAGGTTTATGGAAAGTTACACTGTGATTTCATACAATTTTCATTTGTGATAAATGAGATTTCGTATACGTTACGAAGCTCACTCCATATGTTAATACGCTGTAAATATTAACACATCATAAGATTTCAAAGATTTATTAGGTTACAACAAATTATATTATACCGAGAAAAATAAGCCCTAGCACCTGTGTGCCCTAAGTAAAGCTATAGAACTATATAAAGGATTCGATCTAATTCTTTTACATAAAGTTTCAATTATTTTATGGAGTACAGTACACTATGCTAATTCGTAATCTGGTTCAATAAAGGTCTTAACTGTAAACGCTATCATTTGTCTATTATAAACAGTAAATACAGGAATGAGTTTATTTCCTTTACTGCAGATCTCTGGGAGTTAAACAGAGATCAACTTAGAGTAGATAGTAAAGTTTTGATCCGATCACGAAGACTACTTTGTGAAAATATAGTACTTTTCGTCTTAGATTGATCTTGAGTTAGCGAGTATATTACGGAGATTTATAATATACTTATGCATAGTACCATATAATGTATGTCAGTATTTACACATAACATTTATGAATAAGTATTCTTAATCAATTTCTTTAGATTATATTGCATTATTTTTGAGGTTTGCAGCACTCTCCTGTTGCAATAATCAATCAGCAGAGGGTTATTTAGATAGACCGTTTGATACCGTCGTCTACAGTAGCTATTGCATATAAAAATTTATAGCATGACAAACTATTCATAATTTATTCATACAGCACTATTCTACTAATTCATCAAATTAAAAACTATAGTACTGCAATATTATAAAATCCTCAGTCTATTTAAAGCTTTTAATATAAAGCATTTTCAAAAGCTGTTTTGCAGATTATCGACAGCTTAGTAATATACATTTATGTTTAGTACATGTACAAAAGAGTATATTGTATGAGATTACTGAACGTGTCATAGTTGATCTAAATCTAATAGATCGTTTATTGCCCATCAAAAACCCTTTCAATTAGGGTCACTGATGATAGTGCTTCCCGATACTGATTCTACGGGTATATCGATTTGTTTCTTATCATAACTTTACCATCTCATTTTAACTGTGCCCATCTGCTTACAAAAATTAATAAATATCAAGGATCTTATAATCCTTTATACCATACCGTATACAGTTAAGAATCTTAATGGTCACATAAACCATTAAGTAGCCAAAGATTTTTAAGAATAAAAGTTAATCGATTTGGAGTAAAAAGGTCAACATAAAATCTTTCAAAGTTTTCAACCTTGTTATATTTAATCTCTTTCTTTTTATTACTTGTATCCTGACATGATGACTTCATAATAGTGCCAATTTAATATTATAGATTTTTTTAAGGGTTTTCTCACAAGATATCATCATGACTCAAGCACAATCGCTTCTATTAATATACTATTACATTACAATTGATTAACTACCGTTACTTGTGTAATACTCGTACAGTAAAAATAGCTAGCTAAAAGAGTCTGGATCTGATAATTTTCAACAATTATGCAGATTGTAGATAAGAATTCCTGTATATCTTAATATTTAAAATTATTAATTGCATGAAATCATTTGCTAAAGAACATAAATATAAATTAAAATTATGTCATATCTATTGATAACAGATATTTCAGTTTATTAGTAAGGATTTAAAATCATATTTCAATACACAGATATTGACGTTGATATTGATTGTAGAATGTGATTAATAGAATTCTACCTGCGTAAATTATTTAAAAGCAGCTGGTAAAAGCGTTTCATAATAATGATTATAATTCAGAATAAATGATATCTTAATAAATTATACAGTTGAGGTCGTGGTTTATGACCTCTAAAAATATGTTTAGATCAAAAAGAAATTGGCAGTATTTCGAAAATGTTTTACTTAATTTTAAAATTATTCTCGTGCCCTAAGACCGAAGTATTTTGATTAAGAAATTTTTATTACAGTTACAGCTATAAATATATTATCTATAACCTATTTGCTATTTATAAAATTTGCAGTGTGGTAATAATCAGCAGCTCTCATTCTATCCTTAACGCGTCTACGCGAAGGATACTTGGTGTATAATTTAATAGCCTAATTGTATTAAAAATAGTTGTGTATTCCGGCTTTAAAGGTATATAAGCTTCTACAAAGTACGAGTCAATAATCTATTTCAGTATCACTATATGTATTTTAAAATAAACATAGATATAGCCCTTTACAATGAAACATTCCACTAAAGTTGAATAATTAGAATTATTATGCATAACATCTGCATGAATTGGAGCTTAGAACTCCAATATGCTGAATTATATGAAGTGGAGTGATAACTTGAGTCCTGGTTAATTATAATTATCATAGATATCAAATATGCGGTATTTGGCTATTTATTTGCGATTGAAACCTTATTTACTGACGTATAATTAAGATTATACATTGTTTTTCCCGCATAATTATAATATATAGTGTTCTAAGTAGATCTATTGACTATCGCTTTTGTTTATCTCGCAATTTCCAATTTCTCTTTGCAATAGCACTCTTATGGTAGACTGTTAAAATTTTTGACCCGTAATTTAAATCGCTAGTAGAAAACAAAGCAATAACTTTGAAATTTTTAAGATGAGTATAGTGATGCAGATGATATATGCCATAAAAAATTTTAGAGAATTTAAAAACCAATTGTATACTATTAATAAACGAAACTAGACTTAAAAGTTATCTCGTTCAACATTTGACTGGGACAAGTAATTATCCTGTTGCTTAGAAACTCTTTTAATGAAATTGAATCAAAAATAGATGGAGTTATTGCTAAAATAACTGAAATGGATGAATAAGAAAATATAGCCAAACTTCACTAATTTCAGAAAGATAATTTATTATATGGGGATTAATTCATAATTATCGAAAACAGATTTAATGTATCAAGGCCAAGGAATTTCTGCAATTTTTATACTATTTTCACCTAATTGATGAACTTTAATTTCATTTATAAGAGTTATTAGTCGTCCACTGTTATGGTACTATAGTGTAAGTCTGTAACATCTTTCTTGATAATCCCACATTATCTAAAAAATTTAATGCCTAAACTACATGAAACTTCAGCAGTAGTAAATAATAAAGAATGCTACAAATTTAGTATTAATAAAGTAATTATGTGCAAACTGTTCGTATCTTTGTCATGTAAGAATAATACAGTTACTTTCCAAGCCTTTAAAATGATTCAAGTATTAATGATTCATAACCTCTATGATATGTAATTAATTAATAACAAGTACCTTATTCTAGTGTAGATATTAGCTTAACAGCTGCTATTATACGGTAATTATTAAACATTAGGTAAATTAGATGATGATAAATAAGTTTCAATGATAATATTCATTGTATTAATAATAGATTCTAACAGATGTTTTACTTGGTATGTTTCTGTTGAAGGAAATAATCTATGTCATTATATTCCAATCTCATGGGTTCTACATTAACTGATCGTACTCTAAGAATTTTTAAACTATACGCGTACTTATTGCAACTTTACTCTCTCTATATTTATATTGCATGATTGATACCTTTATTGGATATCGAAGTAATATTAACGTCTACATATTTCGAAATGAAGTCAACAAGCACAATTGTAAATCAAAATTAAATGACGATCCTAATTATCCTAAAATTAGGATACATTAAATGTTAGTTATTTACGTCAAAATGTTATCCTTTAATATCGAATTTAGTTCTTGTTGGCGAAGAAATGGGCACAACGCGTGTAATTCGTATCTTCGATTTTCTCATGTTACAATGAATCAGTCGAAATAATTCATCCTTCATACTAGTCCGATATTTTAAGCTATAATGAGCATAAACTAGGGGCATAGTTGCATGGCCA